GGGATGAAACTTACAACCCTGAGATGAAGAATCACATGCTCTACTGACCTAGCCAGCCAGGTGCCCCTCCCTTACTCTCTTTTTGAAGTCTGTGGGGTCTTTAGTGATATCTTCTCTGGTATTCCAGATATTGGTAACCTGTGTGTTTTCTCTCTTTCTCTCTCTCTTTTTTCTTTTTTTTTGGCAGGCTTATCAGATACCTTTTATCTTTTTTTTTTTTTTAAAGGATGTATTTATTTTAGAGAGAGAGAGAGAGAGAGCAGGGCGAGGCACAGAGGAAGAGAGAGAGAGACTCTTAAGCCGATTCCCTGCTGAGTGGGGAGCCTGATGTGGGGGTTCTATCTCTGGACCCTGAAATCTTGACCTGAGCCAAAATCAATAGTGGGATGTTTAACCACTGAGCTACCCAGGCGCCCTCTCCCTTTTATCTTTTCAAAGCACCAGCTTTTAGTTTCAATGTTTTTCTCTGTTGTTTTTCCATTTCTCTTTATTTCTGTTCCTGTCTTATTTCCTCCCTCTTGCTTTAGATTTATTACTTTTCTTTTTCTAGTTTCTTGAAATGGAAGCTTACATCCTTGATTTTAGACCTTTCTTTTCTAAGAAAAGCAGTTAATGTTATAAAATTTCACGTTCATCACTGTTTCAGTTGCATCCCATAAATCGTTGTATTTTTATTCAGTTCAAATAGTTCTATTTCCCTTGAGATTTCTTCTTTGACCTGTGGATTAACTAGAAGTGTACTGCTTAATTTCCAAGTGTTTGGAGATAGTCCTGCTATTTTTTTTTTTTTACTTTTGAGCGTGGAGCCCAAGGCGGGGTTTGAACTCACCACCCTGAGTTCAAGACCTGAGCCAAGATCAAGAGGCTTCATCCACTGAGCCACCCAGGCGCCCCCTGTTATCTTTTACTGATTTGTAGTTTAATTCCATTATGGTCAGAGAATATACTTTGTATGACTTCAATTGTTTAGAATTTCTTAAGATTTGTTTTATGATGGTACTAAAAGTTCTGATTTCCTGGGCGCCTGGGTGGCTCAGTTGGTTGAGCGACTGCCTTCGGCTCAGGTCATGATCCCAAGGTCCTGGGATCGAGTCCCGCATCGGGCTCCCTGCTCTGCGGGGAGCCTGCTTCTCCCTCTCCCACTCCCCCTGCTTGTGTTCCCTCTCTCGCTGTGCCTCTCTGTCAAATAAATAAATAAAATCTTTAAAAAAAAAAAAAAAGTTCTGATTTCCTTCTCCAAGTCCCCTGCTACCAGCCGCTCCATGAATTCAGGCTAGGATTGCAGCTGCTTTCAGTGCAGACAGGAGGCTCTAGCCGACTGGAGCCAACCTCGAGTCTCTTCTCCCCTGTACGTGTGCCCCTGGCACACACCCGAGCCACTCCGTGCTGAAGCACCTCAGTCACCTCACGTTCCACCCTGCCCGCAGGTTTTTCGCCAGCGCTGTGCGGAACCCGGGACTGGAGTGCCTGCATGAGGCGGAAATCCCGCCTCCCGGCGCCTGCGGTTGGCCCCGACCGCAAGGGGTGAACCCCAAGGAGGAAGATGAGCAGGATTGAACGAAGCAGGGGAGTAGGGAGGAAGGGCGAGAGGGCTCCTCTTCCCCATTGGCTGGTCCAGCGAGTAGCCTCGCTGTGATTGGCTGGTCCGTGGGGGCGGTAGTCCCGAGTCGGCCCGCCTCTCCGGTCGCGAGAGATACCGGGATCACCAGCGCCGGCGGAGCCAGCGGTGGCTTGGAGGCTGTGTCCGCACGCCGCCGGAGTGAGGCGGCGGGGCCTTTGCGCGTCAGGTCCTCATCCCCGGGGGCAGCGAGGGCGGCCAGCCGCTAGGGCAGTGCGGGTCGGAACCCAGGGCACGGTCGGGCTGGGGCGCGGCGGGCGTTGGCGCGGCCGCCGGACCTGGGCCTGCGCGGACCGCCCGTGGCGCGCGTCTCGGACTGTCTTTCCATTTCAAAGTGATTATTGTTTTGGATTTTTCCGCAGACGTGACTTTTGATTAGTTTGTTTCACGCACCAGTACTGGTATAGGTTAAAGTGGTAGATGCATGCCACTGTCATTTGTCGTTGAAATGTGGGCTTCCTGTCGTCTGTGTGTTTACCTTTTGGATTTAAGGGAAGGGGATGACATTGTGATTTGGTCTCTTGTGACCGTCCATTCTCAAGGTCTCGCAGACGTAGTACAGAAACCAGGCGAATCCTGTGTGTGGCTCTTAACCTGTATTGGAAGTAGGCTTTTTCTTCCATCCTCCTCCCTGTCTCTCTCCATCTTTCTCTTCCTTTCTCCCCCTCTCCCTCCCCTCCCCCACCTGTTCTCCTCTCCCATCTTTCTGTTCTTTTTGCCGCATTAAACCTTGCGGGAGGGTCTTGGTACAATTCTGAAAAGCTTTAGGTCTTCCAACATTTATGTTCTACTTGCAGGACTGACAACTGGGAGGAAACTGGAGGAAAGATGCCCTCTGATTCTTTCTGCTTGGCTGCCCAGACTCGACTTGACTCCAAATGGTTGAAAACAGATATACAGGTGGGGTTTTGACATGCTTTTTTCTTGGTGTGTTCCTGCCTCCATATTTAAATTTCTGGTTACGGCTTTATATAGGATAAGTACGAGGATGCAGATCGGATCTTGCCTATTAGAGAAGCAGGTTTATTTCCTATAATTTAAAATGCACCTTTATTGTATCAGTTTTTATAGATTGTGGCTACATTTTAGTTGCAGTTATGTGTAAGTGCAAGAAACTTGAGATCTGTTTATGCAAACATTTTTTCTATTATTATTTTTAAGAGGTCTGTAGTATTCTTAACCTTGTTGACTGTTTCGTGATAGTTTTGAGATGTTCAGTTAATGAGGGGAAGAAGTGACATGTAGTAATTTATTATGTCCTGCAGAAACTCACTCATTTTATGGGACCCTGTGTTTTTGTTTCTGGGGAGACAAGAGTTCAGTTGAGCTGTTTGTTTTTGTGACTGGTCTTTTAAGAGGAGTGCTCAGGTTTTCACATAAAGAATGCGTGGAAACAAAATGTTGGCCTTAGACTCTAATGTTTTAATAATGTAATTATAAGCTTGTTCAGAAATTATCAAATAAATAATAGCAGTAATCTTTCTATAGACTTTTTTTTTTTTTTACCCCAAGTTAGTTTTCTTTGTAAATCGTTTGGAAAAACTACTTTTGTAACTCCATATTAACAGCAAAAAGAAGTGTCTGAAATATTTTGTAGTATATATGGCTTTTTTTCTCTTTCCTGAGGTTAACCATTTTAAGTATTTCTCAAGTAATCTCCGGTTTTCAATACAATCTTACATAGTGCATCACAGTTTATCAAGAGTCATATATTCTATAAGCACTTGATCATAGATACTTGTAGTGAAGTATTATAATCTCTCTTTATTTATTTATTTAAAGTGTTGAGTCCCAGTAGGTGTAAGAGCCAAGTGCTTAGAACTGTGTTGTGGATTTTGGGACAGTTATTAATGGGGTAATGTTAGATTAAAGCACACAGAATTGGGCCAAGAATTGGCATAGTAGTGACTCTTTTGGTTTGTTTTTTGTTTAAACATTGCTTTTTATTTAGCAATTACTGTTTGTTTTCCTTTGTCATTTTTTTTTTTTAAAGCGTGGTAGGGGGAGGTGAGATGAGTAATTTCTTATTTCTGAAATCTTGAGATTTAGGCAAACTGATTTTAAGACTTCATTTTTTTATTAGTGTTTGTTTTATTAGAACTTGTTGAAGTAAAGAACTTTATGAAGTTTTTCTTTTTAATCATAATTGAATAACTGCATAATATGAGTTTTAGCATCATGATCTAAAACCAGTTTAATGCTGAGTTGAGTGCCTATGATGAGTCAGGCAGATGTACATAAAAAGAAACACCACTTACACCTTAGAGTTATTTTACCTTTGATTTACTTAGTGTAATATATAGTGCTTAGCCCTTCTTAGACATTTCAAATATTAGTCAGAAGTCCTCCAAACTCATCCTAGGAATATATGAAGAGACGTAGGTTTTGGAGAGTGCCCCAGAGGGAAAATGTGTTGTGGGTATTGAAGCTACTTAATATCATGAAAAAAGTGATCGCTGACCTTGGTTTTATATAGTTTCTCCAGCATTGCTTATTAAATGTGAGGAGCAAATGTCGTTTTACCCTAACAAATGACTTAGACTTAGTTTCACTCTTTGGAATCCTTCCTATAGACACACATTGCAGATGCAAGCCTTATACTGACAGCTTTTACCCTTACCCTATTGGGATGTCTCTCCCAACTGGAGTGGGAAGTGTCCCATTCCTTAGGTAGGGTTTTTGTATTGGGAACAGAATTGACACCTCGTTAATTAATATTATGTGGGGTAGAAACATGTTTCTTAGCCATAGAATTTAGCAAATCTATTTTCTGTGGCTATTTTTGTTTGAAATGCCTGTGAAGGTTTTAGTGACTTTAGAAAGGAAATATTTTTGGAGGCAGTGAAAACTTTTAATATGTGTATATTATAAAGAACACAGGCACTAATCCTAGACTTTCTTGTTCATAGGTGTTTAGGCCTACGATGTGTCAGGCCTATGATGTTGCAACAAGCTGCCTTTAATAGAGTGCCAGTTATATGACAGGCATATATGTGGTTTTTACATATATAATGCTTTTTACTTTTCTTTCTTTTTTTAAATATTTTTTTATTTTTTAAAGATTTATTTATTTGAGAGAGCGAGAATGAGAGAGAGAGAGTACATGAGAGGGGGGAGGGTTAGAGGGAGAAGCAGGCTCCTTGCTGAGCAGGGAGCCCGATGCAGGACTTGATCCAGGGACTCCAGGATCATGACCTGAGCCGAAGGCAGTCCCTTAACCAACTGAGCCACCCAGGCGCCCCTCTTTTTTTTTTTAAAGATTTTATTTATCTGACAGAGACAGCAAAAGAGGGAACACAAGCAGGGGGAGTGGGAGAGGAAGAAGCAGGCTCCCTGCTGTGCGATGCGGGGGGGGGGGGGGGGGGGGCTTGATCCCAGGACCCTGGGATCATGACCTGAGCTGAAGGCAGACACTTAACGCCTGAGCGCCCCCGGCGCCCTGCTTTTTACTTTTTCAACACTCTTTTCTGATTGTTGTGTGGAGTACCTTGAATTGCCATTTCCTTTGCAACTCTCTTGAAGAGGCAATAAAATATAGAGCTAAGAGATGTTAGCTACATAATCAGTACCATTCTTATATTTAAAGTAAAAGTCCTGTCTGATATGATTGGTTGTTTCTCAATGAAGCAAAAAGTCAGTTAAGCAAAGGACCTATAAAAAAATGATACCTTAAAAGCTTTTTATTCTTAAATCATATATGCACATTTATTTGCTAGTTTTGATGTAAGGCTAGGGGTGTGTCTTTGAGCATGGCTCCAAGAATGGTGTTATCTTTTTCTTGCATAATCTGTACTCAGATGAATCTCCTACAGTTTCTATTTTTGGATTCTTTGAAGTGGAGCATGAAATTAGATATGTATGATGCAATTTTTTTTAACTTTTTATTTTGAAATAATTTATAGACTCACAGGAAGTTGCAAAGAAAGTAGAGAGGTCACGGTATACTCTTCACCCAGATTCCCCCATTGGTTACATCTTATGTAACTATAGTATACTATCAAAACCAGGAAATTGACATTGGAACAATGTGTGCATAGTTCTGTGCCGATTGTGTAATCACACCGCAAAGATCTCCTTCCTCTTGCCCCTCTATAGGTCACACCATCCTTTCCCCACCATCTCTGACCCTGGCAATCACTAATCTGTTTTCCATCTCTTTAATTTTGTCATTTTGAGAATGTCATATGATATGTGATCTTTTAAGACTGGTTTTGTTCACAGTATAATGCCCTTGAGGTCCATCAAAGTTGTTGAGTATATTAATAATTAAACTCAAATAATTTATTTGTCTCTTCTTCTAATCAATTTAGAATGAGTAAAGATAAAAGTTAAAATTTAAAATTAAACTTAAAATTATTAAATGTATATATTGTTACTTTATGCTTAGAATATCAGTAGATTAAAGAACATAAATGTGATCATCTTGGTAAATTCTATTCTCAGGTTTTCCAGTTGACAGATGAGATGTAGAAATAAAAGAATTTTGTAATACAGGTAACTTAATATTCATAATGACATCTTCTGATTACTTTTTTGTCTGTAGGATAGGTAGCATAGCTCACTTTTTTATTCATGATTTTGGTTATTTGTATTTTCTCTATTTTGGATTAGTCTTGCCAGGGCTTTAAACATTTTGTTAGTCTTTTTTAAAAACTAACTTCTGGTTTTTAGAAAAGACTAATAATATTTATAAGGGAAAGATAAATATGAGGTTACCATCAGATCTGATAAGATTTTTTTGTAGAAGAAGATTCCGTAACATATTTATGGCTCCCAAGAAAAGAAAATGGGAGGCAAGGATGTTATGTTCTACCAAAACTGACTTTTCAAGCAAAAGGACACAACTTTATCAATGAACAAACACTGTTCCCATGAGCTCTTCTTGAGGAAGTGAGCAGAGAAGGATCTTTAGATGACCGAATGACTGTAGATTGACGTGAAGAGTGATGGTGGTCATTGCACCTACAGTTATGTGTGGAACCTAGAGTAAATGAGTTATAAAAGGGAGAAAACATACTATATAATAGAATTCTGCTTAGACATGGTACATTATAGTATAACTGTTACACATTGTCTAACCTATTAATTCTACGCATTGAGGTTTTCACTTTAGATGTTGTATTTTTCATCTCTAGGTGTTCCATATGGGTCCTTTTCATATCTTCTGTTTCACTTGTCATCAGTTTCATATTTTCCTATTTGTGAGCATCTGGACGTATCTATAATAGAGTTTTTAATGTTCTTGTCTGCTAATTCCATCATCTCTGTCACATCTGGATTTATTTCTATTGATTGCTTCTGTCATTTCCATTGATTGATTGCTTTGGTCATGGGGTGTGTTTGCATGTCAGGTAATTTTTTATTGAATGCTGGACAATATTATGTTGTTCTGTGCTGGATTTTGTTTTCTTTCTTTAAAGAGCATTAGTTTTGTCTGGCATTCATGTAAGTTTGTTGGAATCAATTTAATTTTTTCAAAGCTTGATCCTCAGGTTTGTTCAGGCTGATCTAATACAACCTCTAGTCATGTACTAATTTATCTGCCTTACTAAGGCAGTATCCTTCTTAGGACTCTTCCAAGTGTTTGGTGTGATAGGAGGTCTTTTTCATTTTGGTTGGTGGAAACACAAGCTTTTCTCAGACTGGGAATCATGGGGATTCTGCCTTTTTCTTTCTAGTGCTTCTTTCCCCAGCCTTTGTAGTTTTCTTAACCCATGCCCAATTCAGTATTCAGCCCAAGACTCAAGGGGTCCCATCTGCCCATCTTTAGAGTTCACTCTTTCTCTGCAGATCCCCCTTCACCTGTATTCTTGTCATTTTAACCTCTTATAGCTGATCTGTCTCCTCAACTCAGCAAGACCTCTGGGCTCTATTTGGGTTCCCCTTTCCTGTGCTGCATCCTGGAAGCTGCTTCTAGGCAGTCAGCTTGGGCAATTGTAGGGCTTCATTTGTTGCCCTTCTTAGGGATCATAGCTCTGGGCTGTTTGATATATTTTGTTTGATTTTCTAGTTGATTATAGTGGAGAGGTAACTCCTAAAGAAGTTAATCTTTCATAGGCAGAAGAAGCACAGGCCTTCTTAATCTGCTTTTAATCTCATTCAGCATTCTTAATTATAGATAATGTATTTTTTGGTTCTAAAATTTCCATGGTTTTGTTTAAATGAATTTTATTGAGGTATAGTTATACTTAGTAAGATGCACCTATTTTAAATGTTTCGTTTCAAGTGCTTTGGTATTTTGTTTACCTACTATGTTCTAGTTTCCTTGACTGTGTCTCCCTTTCCCCATGCTCATCCAGCATGCCCATGGATGACCCTTCCACTTCAGTCTTGGATGTCATGTCACACAACAGGCTGTTCATTATGGCTTCCCAGCTGTCTACCATGGAGCCAATGATATAGTCTACAAGGTGCTGAGAGAGCAGGAGTTAGCTCCCCATAGACTGAACATCCACCTCTTGGCAAGGACAGATAAGGGAACTGGTGTTTTAATTCCTTTTCTTTTTATTCCCTCCTTGGACTGTTCCATGATTTCTTCTTATAAAACTTGTATAAGAGTCCCACATGCCTAGTGAATGTGCCTAGTGGACAATCTGCTGTTGTCTCCTGTTCACTGTGAAGTATGGGCCAGTGCAGTAACATAGGAGTCAGCAAACTTTTTCTGTAAAGAGCAGGATAGTAAATATTTCTGTGAGCCATATGTTCTTTGTAACAACTACTTAACTCTGCCATTGTCATGCTACAGACAATACATAAACAACTGTGTCTGGGTTCCAATAAAGCTTTATAGATACTGAAGTTTGAATGTCATTATTTTCATGTGTCACAAAGTATTTTCCTTGATTATTTTTCAACCATTGAAAAATGCAACAACCATTCTTAGCTCAGGGGCCATATTAAATCAGGTGGTGGGCCAGATTTGGCCTGTGGGCTAGGCTTTAGTTTGCTTACCCATGTGGTAACATGTTGTATCTTGTGCTTCATGTGTTCCCTTGTCCCCCTTCCCCTGCCTCCCACTGCCCTGGGCTGGCATCTGCCAAATAAATCCATTGCTCAGGCTCTCCCTTTTAGGACAGAGTCTGTGTCTATATTTCTGTTTTCTGCATCCACTCTTGATTTGTTTCTGTTGTTTTCTATATATTTTTTTCATTTTTCTGTCACATCATCTTGCTTTATCCATTATTATTTTAGTTTGAGTTTCAGATACTATATTTGAAAAATTATTGTGATCATTTGAGGCTCTGGGTAACGATTTCCCCTCTGGAGAGGATCTACCAATCACACAGCACTAGCAGTCCCAGGTCACTGCAGCACAGTTGGGGGCTGAAATGATTCAAAATAGGGCTCCTTCCCTAGGAAGGCCATCTGCTTCTTCCTGATCACTACGTACTTCTGGTGTGTGTGGCCCTTTGAAGTTTCATTCAAAGCATGGCGTGTTTAACAGGCCCTCCCCCCATGAGGACCCTGACTCAAGCCTGTCTCTCAGCAGCTCTGCTCAGTTCTTGGTCTTAGCCCTGCTCACAGAATTGGCAGGTGCCTCTCAGGAAGGCAGCCTTAGGTTCTTTGGGCTGTACTCCTCTCTTGGGTCTCAGGCTTGTTATTCCTGACTGCCCGATGTCTTAAAACAGAGGTACTTTATGTTTCTGTCTCACCTCCCCAGTTGCTTAAAGAAACCTTTTCTTAAAATTTTTTTGGAGTCGATATGTTGTCCTGTGTTTAACAGGTGCTTAGTAAGTATTTTTCTGCAAGGCTAGGAAAAAAAGCCAGATACCTTTACTTTAGTATCTGCAAGTATTTGAACAGATTACATAACAGGCATATTTTAAAGATAAGTAAAATAAACATTTTCTAACCTATAAGTCATTTAAGCATTCTGAATTAGTCATTTATTTTTTTAAGAGATTTTATTTTGAAGTAATTTCTACATCCAACATGGGGCTTGAACTCAATTACAACCCCAAGATCAAGTGTTGCACACTCTACTGACTGAGCCAGCCAGGCATCCCCTGAAGTAGTCATTTTAATAGATACTTTAAGGGTTGGCTTGCCCAATCCTCTTTAGTGTTCAAGTGTCAGTAGCATCAATATGGGGGACTCAGTGGTTCTCCCAGGCCTCTTCCCTGCATGTGTGGGTGCATGTTGTGGTGTTGCTGAGAGGAGAACAAGCTTCGGAGTTAGGCCTTTTCCCAAATCCCACTTCTCATAGCCTCAGGGTTGTGTGATCCTGGTCAATAATTGAGTTTTAGTTTACTGTTCCTTAGAACTGAGCCTGTTAATACCCCTCTTACTGTCTGCTTTTCAGGGTGAAAATGACTTTATCTGCTATGTCATTTTAGAGGTATAAAGTAAGAGTGTGAGAACAAATTGGAAAAGGAACCTAAGACCAAGTAAACTAATTAGAAGCATCTGGATTCTGTCTAAAAACAGTTAAAATTTAAAACTTGTATCATCACCCATTGGGTACTTTTTAATGGAAGTTAGCTATTTATGAAGACAAGCTAATAGACAGTTGTACAGATACTCTTAAAATGACAGATTGGTAGTTTTTATTTCCTGTACAGGCTGTTCTTACAATGCTGTGATTATTTTTGATTTCCTGGCTTTCTCTTTGGGATTCTGTGCTTTCCTTCCATTGCCCTGGAATGCTTTCCTCTAGGCTTCCTCTTTGCCTTCCACAGCCTAGCTCTTTCATGTCCTCCTCCAGGGAAGCTTGCTTTGTTGCCTTAGTAATGTTCCTCTTTCCTCAAATCCTTTAAGATGCCCAGACCATTGTGCTTTAAATGGTGGTTACTCGGGTCCATGGTTCATTTACATCTTTGTGTCGTCAGTTGTCCAGATACCCAGTCTCCACCTTCCACACAGCTTCTGCCCTGCTTTTCTACCTTCTGACGTGGTAGTAACAATTCTTGTTTCCACATAAACTGGGCTTCTTCCTTGGCTTATTCTTTAATTCATGTTTGTTTTCCTTTTTTATAGCTCTAAACACCAATGTTATTCAACCTGGACTGCATCCAGAAACACTGATGCAGTCACCTTGTGGGTAATCCCAATGTGCTGTCAGGGTTGAGGATGTTGTTACTCTCTTTGGGCATTGGCATTTCCTCCAGGTTGTGGTCTATATTTCATTTACTGATGACTCCCATCAGGAGTCATCAGTAAACATATAGAGATTTGAATCTCTAGTCCTGACACTCTGTTAAGACTTTCAATGACAAACATATAGAGATTTGAATCTCTAGTCCTGACACTCTGTTAAGATCTGGATTTGTATTTGTGTATGTGTGTGTGTATGTATGTATGTACATATATGGCTGTGCATATGACTGTACGCATGTGTGTGTGGGGAGAGGATCTCCATGCTCATGTTCATAGTTAGTGGAAATCTCAGTGGTTAATACCGAGCTAGTTCTCTTTCATCTGTTTCTGTTCCCTACCTCCTTTTCACTTTTCACATCTGATCTGTCTCATTTGATCTGAAATGCCTTAAGTACTTTCCTCATCTTGGCTTAGGCTGTCACTGTTTTTTGGGGAGACTCTTGATGTAGGCTCCTAAATTATTTTCTGTTTCTAGTTTCTTCCTCTGTCTCCATCCGTTGCACTGATACTGAGTTATGCCTTAAGTTATGATCATTTATTCCCTGGCCCACCTAAAGATGGCGTGTAACTGCTGGAGCACAGCACACATGGGACTGTTTAGTCTGGCTCCTGTTTGCCTCCCATGCTTATGTGGTTGTGTGGGAGCTGGACTGAACCCTAGCAGTATTAGCCCTCTTCTTACCTGGATGAGCAAATGAGCCAAGCTTTTCCATTCCCTCATTAAAACGTAAGGGGTGCTGAATGTTTGTGGCTCACTCTTTACTTTTCCCCCGCTGGTTGATACTTTTATCAAGAATCATGTTTTAGTTTTAAGTATGTTTATGGCAGTTATCTTGTTAGTGAGGTCAACAAATAAAATATGAGTGCTGAAAGAAAGCTGTTGCTTCTATGAAACTAAGTTGGATGCTGAAATGGTTTTCTGTTGCTATGTTACAAGTTACTAGCTGTAAATTTAGCAGCTTAAAACGATTCATGTTTATTCTCTTTCCCAGTTTCTGTGGGTCAGGAGTCTGGCCAATGCTTAGCTGGGTCCTCTGCTTTGGGTCTAACAGGCTGCATGCAGTCAGGGTGTTGGCCATGCTGTGCTCTCATCTGGGATCTCATTGGAGTGCTCTTTGGCAGAATTTAGTTCCTTGCAGTTGGGGAACTGAGTCATGGGCTCCTTGATGCTGTCCCTCTGCATAGGTGGCTCATGGCAGCTGCCCTCTCCGTGACTGCAGAGAATGTCTCTTCTGGATGGCCCCATACTCTGAAGGGCTTTCACCTGATTAAGTAAGGCCCGAGGATAATCTTCCTTATGATAACTAGAAATCAACAGTTGTGGGACTTTAATTATATATGAGAAGTTCCTTCACCTTTGCCATAGATGGAAACAAAACCTGGTCGCAGGTGTGATGTCCCATCTTATTCATGGGTCCTACTCACACTCAGAGGGCATTACACAGGATATGTGTGCAGCAAGAGATGAGGATTTGAAGACTGTCTTAGAGTTTTGCTTGCTACACATGCTTTGGATAAAAGTGAGATGCTAGGGCGCCTGGGTGGCTCAGTCCGTTAAGCCTCTGCCTTTGGCTCAGGTCATGATCCCAGGATGCTGGGATCGAGTCCCACATCGGGCTCCCTGCTCGGCAGGAAGCCTGCTTCTCCCTCTCCCCCTGCTTGTGTTCCTGCTCTCGCTATCTCTCTCTCTGTCAAATAAATAAATAAAATCTTAAAAAAAAAAAAAAGTGAGATGCTAAAAAATACTTGAACAGGTTAGGTAAAAGAGAACTGTAAAGGATTAGGGAAAATGTCTTGAAAGTCGGGGCACCTGGGTGGCTCAGATGGTTAAGCGTCTGCCTTTGGCTCAGGTCATGATCTCAGGGTCCTGGGATCGAGTCCCGCATCGGGCTCCCTGCTCCTTGGGAGCCTGCTTCTCCCTCTGCCTCTCTCTCTCTCTCTCTCTCATGAATAAATAAATAAAATCTTTAAAAAAAAAAAATGTCTTGAAAGTCTAGAAGAATTCTATACTGAGATTGCTCACAGAGTGCCCTTTAATTCTTGCTACATTTATTTATTTATTTATTTAAGATTTATTTATTTATTTGAGAGAGTGAGAATCAGAGAGAGAGAGAGTACATGAGAGGGGGGAGGGTTAGAGGGAGAAGCAGGCTCCTCGCCGAGCAGGGAGCCTGATGCGGGACTCGATCCAGGGACCCCAGGATCATGACCTGAGCCGAAGGCAGTAGCTTAACCAACTGAGCCACCCAGGCACCCTAATTCTTGCTACATTTAAAGAAATGGAGGGGCACCTGGGTGGCTCAGTAGGTTAAATGTCTGCCTTCGGCTCAGGTCATGATTCTGGGGTCCTGGGATTGAGTGAAGCGTCAGGCTTCCTACTTAGCAGGGAGTCTGCCTCTCCCTCTCCCTCCCCCAGCTCATGCTCGCATGCTCTTTCTTTCTCTCTCAAATAAATAAATAAAATCTTTTTTTAAAAAAGTAAAGAAATGGAGACTGGAAATAGTGGATGCCTCATAAGGGTGGTGCCTGCTTGAATGATGACAAGTAACAAGTTAGTGGACTTGTAAATAAAGAAAAGGTGCTGGCCTTTTGTTAAAATATGGCCAAACAGATGTGCCCATTTTAGTGTAAAGTGTTTTGTGTTTCTGGTAAGAGGGCTTCTGTTGTCCCTGCAGTTTCAGAATGGATGCCTTCTCTGGGTGTCTATTGTGCCCCTGCCCTCATTGGCTTCTTCCTCTGGGAAGCCTTTTTTGTCTCATAAGTACTGACAAGTGAGAGCATTTTTGTTTTTTTTTCTTTGAATATCACTGTGGACTTGTGTTTTTATTTACTTTTGCAGTCCACTGTAGTTATGTATTTCGATGCTCAAAATTGTTTTAAATTTGGCCAGTAGAGTCCCCATAAGGCCTTACACAGCTTTTTTGGGGTACAAACACAAAATATTCCAGGCTCATTTTATTGGTCCTGGACCTGGAATCAGCCTTTTTTCTCTCCAAGAGCCCCGGTTTTGTTTATGGGAAGTGAGACTTAAAAATTGATGTCTGGGTGCTGGGAGTACTCATTGCTCTCAGAATGTCTGTCATTCATTCTAGCTCCTTCCCAAGCAGATG